TGGTGGGTTTGAACCTGGCCTGGGCCACCTGGACAACAATGACAAGTGCAGCAGAAAATGGCCAGGTGTTATGGCAGGTACCTGTGGTCCCAGCTGCTTGGGAGGCTGAGGCATGAGAATCACTTAACCCCAAGAGTTTGAGGTTGCTATGAGCTGTGATGCTGCAGCACTCTATCCAGGGCGACATAATGAGACTGTCTCCAAAAAAAAAAAAAAAAAAATTGAAAAAGGAAAGAAAACAATGTGGCCAAGCAGTTACATGGACCCTGTCCTCTGCAACAGAGGTTAAGAAAAGCAGTAAGCAACAGTCACTTACGAATAAAGATCTGACATCACTTTTCTAAGTCAGCAGCAAACCAAACAACTAGATACTACTCACACAAGTTTTGATGTTACCAGCACTCATATGCCAAAATTTAAACGTATATAAAGAAAATGCCTGGCTCGGCGCCTATAGCTCAACCGGCTAAGGCGCCAGCCACGTACACCTAAGGTGGCGGGTTCGAATCCCCAGCCCGGACCCGCCAAACAACAATGACGGCTGCAACCAAAAAATAGCCGGGCGTTGTGGCGGGCGCCTGTGGTCCCAGCTACTTGGGAGGCGGAGGCAGGAGACTCGCTTGAGCCCAGGAGTTGGAGGTTGCTGTGAGCTGTAATGCCATGGCACTCTACCCAGGGGGACAGCTTGAGGCGCTGTCTCAAAAAAAAAAAAGAAAATGCCTAAACAGACACTGAATTATTTTACCAGTCTGTTACCATTTCACCACATTAAAAACTGACCTCCAAAAACCTGATGAAATAAACTTACTCAGAGTACAAAGTATAGCTACTTTTTTTTAAAAAAATAAGATATTTTATTATCCTGAATTGATGTTATTGTTCCCTTCATTTGGTCCTCAGAATCAGGTCTGACTGACCTTTGGTCCTGATACTGACCCATTAAGCTTTGCAGATAAGTGACCTAGTGCATTGTTATGTATGACCTGTGTGTCACATGCCACTGGATTTCCACAGTACACACCTCCAACCTACTCCCACTACTTCTCCACGTTGGTTCTTGGTCTCAGCCAGCTGCTTCTCAAAAGTCTCGTTCCAATTAGTGGTATGTGTAAAACCCCAATTTTCTGCTGTTTTGTGGGAACATGCCAAGCTCAATGAAGGTCTCTGGCTATCTCCAAGGAATGGCAGGTACAAAAACTGTATTTTCCCAAAATGTTGCAGATCAGTTACAGTAAACAGAACGGCAACTGTCAAGGAAAACTGTCACTCTCGGCTCCTCTTTGACCACAGCAGCTATATGGAAGCAGCTGCAGCTTCGATAAGGGCCACTGAAAGAACATTTTTCTACTGACCAACTTCAAAAACCAGAAAACTAAAATACCTTATCTGTATTATATATTAAAATGTTTATTTATCTTACTTATTTATTTAGTTTTTGGAGACAAGAGTCTTACTCTGGGGCTGGGCCCAGTGGTTCACACCTGTAATCCCAGCACTCTGGGAAGTCACGGCAGGCAGATCACCTGAGCTCAGAAGTTCAAGACCAGCCTGAGTTACAACGAGACCATCTCTAAAAATAACCAGGCTTTGTGGCAGGCACCTGTAGTCCTAGCTACTTGGGAGGCTGAGGCAAGAGAATCACTTGAGCCCAAGAGTCTGACAGTTGCTGTGAGCTAGATTCAAAGCACTCCTAACAGGAATGACAAAATGAGACTCTTGTCTCAAAACAAACAAATGAACAAAAACGAGTCTCACTCTGCTGCCCTGGGTAGAGTGCTGTGGCATCATAGCTCACAGCAACCTCAAACGCTAAGGCTCAAGCAATCTTCTTGCCTCAGCTTCCTGAGTAGCCAGGACTTCAGGTGCCCACCACAACACCCAGCTAATTTTTCTATTTTTAGTAGAGATGGGGTTTTGCTCTTGCTCAGGCTGGTCTGGAACTCATGATCTCAAGCAACTCACCTTCTGTGGTTTCCCAGAGCCCTAGGATTACAGGCATGAGCCACCTCACCCAGCCTAAAATGAACATTTTATTTCATTTTATTATTATTATTATTTTTTGAGACAGAATTTTACTTTGTCACCCTGGGTAGAGTGCTGTGGCATCACTGCTCATAGCAACCTCCAGCTCTTGGGCTTAGGCAATTCTCTTGCCTCAGCTTCCTGAGTAGCTGGGACTACAGGCACCCACCACAACACCCAGCTATTTTATTTTGTTGTTGCAGTTTGGCTGGGGCCAGGTTCGAACCTACCACCCTTGCTATATGGGGCTAGTGCCCTACTCGCTGAGCCACAGGCGCCACCCTAAAATGAATATTTTAAACTAGTCTCTTCCAGATTGGAAAAATTCACTGGAGGAAATAAGCCTACAGGCACTTACTGCAAATCCAACATAAAAAATCAATACTAAAGCAGAAGCACTAAATGCCAACACACAATGTGCAGTTCAATATAGATAAGGACCACACTGAAATGAAAATAAGGAATACATTAATATAGAAGCACTGGTAGAAAGAGGTCATGATAAACAAGTTGTGATCCATAATGTATTTGAGTCAATGACCTAAGTAAGTACTTAATTTCTCTCAGTCTAGACTTAATTCATTTGTAAAACTGGAAACTTCTTTAAAAAATTCCAAAGATGCTTTGAGGACACAGGATTATAAATTCACGTACTAAATCCTCTTACAATAAATTTGGACTACACTACAAGATCATTAGAAAAAGCTTGTATATACAAGTTTGTGGGGTTTTCAAAGGCACTCATGAAATCATAGCACAGAGAACTATTTCTCTTGTGGCATCAACTAGATACTGTTTTCTGACATAAAAGAATGTGATAGTTTTCAAAACACCCTAGTCTCCTAAAACTGAGTAACAACTTTGAGGGACAGAAGCCTGTCATTAGTACTTAGCAACACAGTCAAGTAATTCACATAAATGTCAAGCTCTGTTCTAATATTATCTTTCAATAAACAATCAGGTTGGAAATCAGATCTTTCAACTCTCAAAAGGTTTAAGAAATCAAGTTGCGGGCGGTACCTGTGGCTCAAAGGAGTAGGGTGCCTGCCCCATCTGCTGGAGGTGGCGGGTTCAAACCAAGGTCTGGCCAAAAAAAAAAAGAAATCAAGATGCCAAATTTCTAATACTTGCCCATAAATTTTATAGCTGGATTATGGAATTATGCTAGGCTGCTTAAGAGAATTCTTTTTCAAAATTCTCCCCCTATAAAATGGATCATTTAAATACTATTGTCACCAGTTAACTAATTTTTCTTAAACTGGTGATTCTGCACCTCCATCTACAACTATTGCCCAGTTCCAGTCTTCCCATAAGCCCTCACACACTTGTGGGGCAGTTGGCTGTAATTATGCTGTAGCTTTCAGCCAAATAAAGTGAAGCTAATTGGAACTGAACCAATGGTTCAGGACCATTGAACTTTGCAAGAACACTTGAACTTTAAAGCACTTTTTAAGATGCTGGTTATTTCTAATAATATTCCTGTGAAGTCTCAGTATTGAGCCATCCATTATATTGTATTGTAAGCTACATGTCACCTTAAAAACAAAGACAAGTGCAAGACATTTCTCTGGTTTTTAAAACTCGAAAACGTAGTCTAACTCTTCCTAAGTGTAAACAACTCTTACCAATGGGGACAGGACCCAATTTAACAAAACTGGGAACGGCTCCTCAAAGTAGCTAAACTACTACCAGTGATTTGGAACCACAGCTTTAGATCCTAGAATCTCAGATTTTTACAGCAAGTCCAAACCTTTATTCTACAAGTAGACTTTAAACTAAAGGCTTATGTCTGGTTATAATAATAGCTAACCATTATAGTAAGTGCTGAGTAGAGTTCTAAGTGCTTTACAGGTTATTACTCCTTTAATCCTCACAACCAACCTGAAACATGAAACAGTGAGATCAAGTAGTTTGCCCAAGGTTATACAGCTATAAAGCAACAAAGCCAGAATATAAAATTCAAGCAGTCTAGCTCCAGAATCTACTTGTATACTCTTTAAACCACCAGACTGTACTGCTTTTCTGTAGAGTGGCTTGAACCAGTCCAAAGCCCTTTCAAGACTTCAGACTTCAGTTACAAAGAGAACATAATCCTCCACAGTCCTTTTTTTTTTTTTTTTTTAACCATCCCACCATCGCAAAGAAATTGCAAATGTGCAGCTTAAAAGTTATCCCTGTAAGCAACCTAAGTAATTTGACTTTTGTATCCAAAATGGGTATCCTCTCCAGGAAACTAAAAGATGTTGTGGCGAGTCTGCAAAGTACTCCTCCTGTTTATTGTTGGCAGGCTCTCCTTCTCAGGTTTTTTTTTTTTTTTAATTGCTACACCTAAAAAACCTAAAAACATAACAAGGAACGGGCTACCAACACTTTTTCTGGGAACGCCAAACATCTATTGTACTTTCATGATGCCTAAACTGATGAAACTGAACTAAAAAGAACGGCTTTTTTCTTAGCTGTCTTTAACTTAATCGGGGAGAAGACTTACTTTTGGCATCAGAATGTATGTGGGAAATGGGTAAAGAGAAAAATGAGGCTGGGGAGGAATATTACTACATCAGTTAGGGCTTACACTCAGACCCTCTTCGTTACCAAAGTTAAAGCCAGTAATTACTACACACCAATTCCGCCCTGCCGGCTGAAATCTCCGGGCTGCAGGGAGGTGGCTACGTGGCGCTAGGAAGCATTTCCCCGGGCCCGAGAGGAGGTGGCAGTCCCAGCTGGTGGCAGCCCCTTGCCTGTGGCCCTGCGGCAGGGGGCGCCTGGAAACGGCTGGAGCTACTCCGGGATCCCCAAGGTGGAGAAAGCCTGGGGCGGTATGCCCGGAGCCACTGTGGGGCCAGGGACTGCCTGCACCCCAAGCCGCTGCGACCCGTACTACACAAACCATTCGGCCTCAAGGGTTAGCCAACACGCAGGGGGCAGGACCAGACTCCTGAGGCACCCAGCACAGACGCTATCCTCTGTGGGCCACTCACCAGGTTGAGAGGTCCTTCCATTACTTCCATAGACCCCGGGATAAGCGGCGGCCTGAGGAAGGAAAGCGGCGGCGCCGGGGTACATGGAGGGGACCAGCGGGGAGGCGCGACGCAGCCGCGGAGACTGCGGCCCCTCTCTGCTCCCCGAGAGCCAGCTGCGGGCGCGCAGGGAGCAACAACCAAGCCACTTCCTCCTCCGGCGCCGCGCCGCAGACCCGCCCCCGGCGCCGCCGCCACGCATGGCGCCATGACGTCACGCGCGCAGGCGGCTAGTTTAAGGAGGGAGGGAGGATCGAAGTGGGGATCAGGGAAGGAAAGGTACCAGCTTCCGCGCGGTCAACCTTTCCTCTCGCGAGAGGCGTTATCCTCTACTTCTTGACTATTACTTTGGTGTCACGTGAGGAGGGGCGGTCTTGTTCCCAGTTTGGAATGACCTGCGTTTGGCTTCTCACATTTCCTTCAAGCCTGACTTTTCATCAAATCCAGTGTTTTAGCTACACCCTTTCTTGCTCTCTTGTTTCAATCTTTATCCTTGTACCTGATTTTTTTTTTTCAAAAGGCAAATCTGAAAATGTCTCCCTAGAGATTGACAAACACGAGTGGTAGATTCAGGGCTCTGCCCTGGAGTGGCTCACAAACTGATAAAATAATATGGGTCACAGATAGCCAAATATAGTACTGTGGGAGCCAAACTAATTAAGTCAAACTACCTCCTTTTGTTGTTTACTCAGAACAACAGGCCACTGCATACCAAGGACCTTATCATACCTAGGTGTTAGGCAAGCCCCCTTGTGCACTGAGCCCACATCCTGACCCCCTCCCCTTTGTCCCACTAGCCCCCTTATGCACTCAGCCCACATCCTGCCCCACTACCCTTTTTGCACTCGCCACTCTACTCTGCACATGCCCCACTTGGGACCTTTATCCCTTCTTTCTCATTCGCTCACCTGAGACAAAGAAGACTTGTCCCTGAGCCAATCAACCCTGAACAGGACCCCCCTGTACCTGTCGGTTTAGGATAGACATGGTATACCTACCAATAAGGGGATGGGGTGGGATGGTCTAATGGGAGGGAAGAGATAGGGGTATAAAGGGACTTTCTGAATAGTCTGTAAGGGCTGTTCCCGCTTTTTCTTAAAGGGCAGCCCAGGCGCTGAGCTTGAATGAATAAAATTCCTCGTGCCTTTGCAGCGGATGTTCGGACTCTCAGAGTGGTGCTTGAATTGAGTCTGGGGGTTAATAGTACTTGATTCATTTAAGGATTAATTATGGACCAAGCCACAACGCTAGGTTCTTTCTGTTGTAGAATTTACTGACGGAGTTGTGAACAGATAGGGAGCTGTGATAAAAACTGAGAGGTGGTGGTGAAGGAAAGCATCTCAGAGGGCACAACTCTTAAGATGCAACCTTGAGGAGCCATCTAAGCAGTGACCCTCCCTAACAAAGGAAATGTCTTGCACCACAGCTCTATAGGAGGGTGAGGAAGAGCTGCGGCACCCTTAGAATGCAGGAAAGAGGTGCAGAGATCTACACTCCAAACCAAAATCACTGACTCGTTGATGCAGATTGGTTAATACAACGTAGGAGGAAAAAGATACTTTTTTTTTTTTTCAGTATGTACACAGGAGCCCTCAGAGTGAAGATTCAGCTCCTCAACAGGATTTAGAGGTTTATATGCCTTTCTGGGATAATGGGTTAGAGAAAGAAATTCTGTCCAGAGGTAATAGAGGATTGCTAGGGAGGATGAATGGACCAAGAACAAAGATTAACTGGTAAACAGTTCTTGTTAGAATTGGAATAAGTCTGAGAGATGGAACATTATCTTCTTAAACAGTCTGTCCAGATGTGCCCTATTCCTGATCTTAGAGGGTAACAAAAGAATAATCATTCTCTTAGGTGGGCCGGCATCTTAGGAAGATAAAGAAACTTTCACTTTTTTTTTTGGAGTCCTAATGGTGGAGGAGGGATCAGAGAGACTTTGAGGCTTTTTAAGTTATTCCAGATGTCAAAAGGCCATATTTTGAGGTAAAATATTTCTAATTACCTTCAGAGACAAAAGTAGATTATCAAAGAGATAGGCAAGTTCCAAAACATAGACAATCCCATAATGCACAACAAAGTGTTTCAATTTTGCATGTATTCAAAATGCGTTGGGAAGGGAGGGATTTTAAGGTAGACAGTAATCTGCTTTAATTTACATCTTTTGAAATATCTATTTCCCTGCAATATGAAGAATAGATTGTAGGGGGCCTAAGGTAAAAGATCCAAGACAAGCTAATCAACAAATTATAATAGTCTTGGACTGGAATGGTAGCACCGAAGATTCATTTATGCATCCATTCATTAAATAGTTACTGTGTTTCTACCTTATGCCAGAAACTGGAAGAGAAATAAATATATTCAAGAATATTTCTGATCATATAGTTGAAAGGATGTAGTGATAGATTGAAAGAAAGTGTGCAAAAATGGAAGAATCAAGGCTTTAGTTTAAACAACCAAATGGACAAAACTGTTGATTTATAAGGGAAACCAAAAGTTCTGTTTGGGACACCCTATTAGGTATCTATAGCTGGTGTAAGAAATTACCACTTAGTGGCTTAAAATAACAGAAATTCTCTTGCAGTCCAAAGGCTGAGAAGGGACACAAACCCAGGGGCTTGAAGGAAGGTGGGAAGAAAACCTAGCTTACTGAACCAAGAAGTCTTGGTTCTTGGAGGGCCCCTTGGAGGGCCTATAAGAATGTGGGTAAGAAGTAAACTAGGTAGGCTCAGCACCTGTAGCTCAAGTGGCTAAGGAGCCAGCCACATATACCAGAGCTGGCCGGTTCAAATCCAGTCTGGGCCCGCCAAACAACAATGATGGCTGCAACCAAAAAATGGCCGGGAGTTGTGGTGGGCACCTGTAGTCCCAGCTACTTGGGAGGCTGAGGCAGGAGACTCGTTTGAGCCCAGGAGTTGGAGGTTGCTGTGAGCTGTGATGGCATGGCACTCTACCCAGGGGTATAGCTTGAGGCTCTGTCAAAAAAAAAAAAATAGCCTGGCATTGTGGTGGGTGCCTGTAGTCCCAGCTACTTGGGAGGCTGAGGCAAGAGAATTGCTTAAGCCCAGGAGTTTGAGGTTGCTGTGAGCTGTGATGCCACAGCACTCTATCCAGGGTGACAGCCTGAGGCTCTGTCTCAAAAAAAAAAAAAAGTAGCCTAGGTAACCAATGACCAATAGAAAGAGACAATCAATGACCAATAGGAAAGGAGAATACTGCCTGGAGCCACAGAAAAGCCAATGAAAGACTTGCAACCAATTTCAAATGGGACAGGCCTTTACATCTCTGCCTCTCTTAACCTCTGCTCCTTCATGAGAGGGACTTATTTCCAACTTTTTTTGGAATTAGTCTAAATTTTCTTTGTTCATCCTAAATAAAATGTCTTTGTTACACTAAAACTTGTGTAGGTTACTTTTGCTACTACTACCCACACTACCTTTGCTGGTCCAATTTTATTTTCAGCTTCCACTCACTTTTGCTTTCCATTATAGCTGGGCCTTAGTTGAACTTTCTAGCTCAGTTGAGTAATGGAACCAGGTCAACTGTCTTCAGGGAACTGGGATCCTTAACCCCCAACTGAGGCCAAAAACACAAAATGGTTTCCATGTGCCAAAATCAAGCTTTCAGCAGGGCCTTGATTCATTCTTGTCATTTCCAGCTCACAAACCTCCAATCTCTACCTACCTTGACATATAGCACTTTTTTCTGTCTTCAAAGACAGGAACATACTATCTTCAAGCCTTTTTTGTTTTTGTCATCTTGACATTTCTTCTTAAAAACCTCTACTTCCCTCTCAGAAGGACCCATGATTACATTTGGTCCACAAAATAATTAAAGATAATCTTATTTTCACATCAGTTTAATCATATCAGCAAAGTCCCTTTTGCATATAGGGTGACAGTCACAGGTTTCACAGATTAAGACCTGGATATCCTTGGGGATCATTATTCAGCCTACCACAAGCATTACATCAAGGGAAAATCAATGACATATTTAAAATAGGATAATTCTGGAGAGGTTTAATAAAGGGATTATTTATAAAAGTGTGAGCAGAGTTTAGGTATTCACTTGAGACAGTGGTTTTCAACCTTTTTTATCTCACGCACACTTGAACCTATAGTTGAACTTCCGTGGTACACTTAAGTTGAACAAAAGAAAAAAAGTAAACAAAAATATACTTACTGTACTTTGAACTTCTTTCTAAAATAATTTAATTAATGGTCTTTAAACATTTTCATGACACTTTTAAGATCCTCTCACAGGTGTCCACTGCACACTGGTTGAAAATCACTGCCATGAGAAAAGGCAATAACTCCTAGGTGATGGAGTGTAATTGGCTCCATGAACAAATTTCAAGGACTCATATATATTTTAGAGAAACTTTGTCACCCTCAGTAGAGGGCTGTCAGCGTCCCAGGAAGACGAGGCCCAACAGAGAGAAAGAGCACCCAAACACCATAGTTATAAGAGGAAAGGCTTTATTCATCGACCAGGAGCTTACGGCATAGAAGATTTCCAAATGGCTGCACTCTCCCACTGCCTTAGTCTTTCCCTTTTTATTGACAGTCAAAAAGTTGCACCCCACAGGTACCCTTCCCATTGACCAATTAGAATTAAGCAGGAGATGCTACTCCAACCCCTACAGAACTACAAGATTTCACAGAACTTGGAAATTTCCAAGTTCCAAGGAGTTAAGCCTATAAATTCCCAAGAGCTGAGTCACCATGAAGAGGGCCCTACAGGTGCATCCTCGTGGTCTCCCTGAGAAGACCTGTTCTCCTGGACCTCGCCCTTCTCCAGTATCCTCTCTCATTGGGTCACAGCTCACAGCAACCTCCAACTCCTGGGCTTACACCTCCCAAATAGCTGGGATAACAGGCGCCCGCCACAATGCCCAGCTATTTTCTTTTTGTTGTGGTTTGGCTGGGGCCAGGCTCGAATCCAGCACCCTTGGTATATGCGGCCAGTGCCCTACTCACTGCGCCGCCACAGGTGCCACCCGACTCCTGTATGTTTTTAATAATCCTCTTCCTTAACCAATTCCTTAACCTTTTAAGTTGTATCCCAGAACTGATGAATTTCCTGCAAGATAAAGGAGTTGAGATTCTGAAGGCCCCCGGGCAGACTTCCAGATACCAGGATCTCTCTACCTGCCCAAGGTACCAGGCCACTCATTTAAAAGCTCATCATCTTTAATCGTGGGA